AAAATCTGGGCTTCAACCTCCAGAAATTCTGTTTCTATGTTACTAATGTTGTGGCCCCACCCCGTAACAAAGAAACAGAATATCCGGAGAATGAGGCCCCAAAATCAGGATTTTAAAATAGATTCCCAGGTGATTCTAATGTGCAGCCACGGTTGAGAACCACTGCAGGAAAGCTTTAGTGGCTTAGAGTAAAGAAGGGATCTTTCTTGTTCTATCCCATGGACACCCTGGTTCTCCTGAAATCAGGATAAAGGAGTAGCCCATATGCACATGTCTGCTGGGTGTTATCAGAGTTGGACAGACAGGGTGGCCCCTCTCACTGGATCCAGACGCCTCTGTTAGAGGCGACAGGGTTGACTCCCACCACATTTCATTGGTCAGAGCATATCACTGGCTGCAGCCAACATCAGTGTCAGTAGCAGAGCCTGACCTCCTTGATGGGCCCCAGTAAAGTGACCGCATGGTGCCAGCCTCTTGTGGGGCTGCTCAGGGATGAAGAAGAGGGGTGGGGATTGAGAGGAAATGGAATCAGTCAGGATGGTTTGCTTTCTCCTCATCCACCTAGACGTTGTTCCTCGAGCTGCCCAAAGCCCAAGATTCATACGAGTGAACTTCAGAAAAAGGAGTTTGGTCTGATGTCATTGGCAGTTCTGTGCAAGTTTACCATCATTACTGTCTCCTTGTTAATTTCTCTATTTGTCATTTTCCTTGCGGTGAGTATACTACAGTACCTTACAGATACACTTTTAATCATAAGTAAGCAAAAATATTGAAACACTGGCCTTTTTATTTGCAGTCAGTACTGTCAGTGTCCCTCTGGGCAATGATTTTGCTGAAGGTTCCCCACATCAGCTCTTGCAAAGGCAGCCTGGGGCTCAAGGCAAACTGTGAGGCCTCCTGAGGGGAAGGTCAAGTCCTTTCACAGAGCCCACCGCCCAGCCATCACCCACTTTCTGATCCTGGTTGTCGAAACCAGCCAAGGTGACCTCCCAAATGCTCAGGGCAGGCTCCCCATAGGCTGCCACATTGAGCCTGTCACCCTTTCCCACACTTCCTCAGGGAGACCCCACTGACCACCCCTGGCCTCACTTTCCCCCCTGAGCTCCTCTCACAGCTACCTGCCTCCTTGATTGTGGGCTGTCCTTCACTACAACACCAGGTCCCAAGTGCAGGGGACTCTGTACCTCCAGACTCTGGAACAGTTGAGGTGAACAGTGTCCACACCCTTGGTCCTTACAGGCCTCAGCTGTGCCTGCCCTTGGCTGTGGCCCCTCCATCCAGCCTGATTCAAGCTCTCATCACTAGCGCCTCCCCTCAGCCCTCCCACTCACGGACCTGCCCAATGTGCTCACAGATAACAACCCCACCAACCCTGTCCAAGGCCCCAACCTCTCTGCTCCATCAGGGACACATCCCAACCGCCCAATTTCCCCCAGAACACAGGGTCCCTCATCTCACTTCAGGGAAGGGGTCTGCTCTGCACAGGCCAGAATTAGGGAGGTGGGCACACCAACCAGAATGCACACCCCAGTGTGGTATCATGTTGAGACCCAACGCCCTCCTGCTGGGAACGCTTGCATTGCAGAATGTTCTCAGCATTGTAAATACACAGAACCAATTCCTGGAAAACCCAGGCGACCTCCAGGACTGCAGGTAAGTGGGGGAGGAGGGTGTGTGCTTTATTTTTTAATAAAATCAAAGTAGAAAATTACCCCCAAAATGCAGAATTAGACTCAAAGAACACCAGGGGGTATCAGGGGTGTATGTGAGCTTGCCAGAGGCAGACGTTTACTAAGCGGAACTGATTCGGGGCCCAAAGCATGAGGGGGCATCTTCCAGATAAAGTAGATTCAGATGCAGTGGGCCAGATGCCCGGGAATGGGGAGAACAGGCTGGAGAGACTCTGGATGGAGAGAGCAGAGCCCTGGAAGCTGCTCTCAGGCGAACACAGAACTCTAATCCCTCCCAGGGACCTGGCTCGGGCTCCTCTCTGCCAGCTCCTGGGCAGACCACAGCATGCCCAGCTGTATGGGGAACATCGGGGCAAAGGCAGAAAATAAGGGAAGGTGAGCTGTGCAGGCAGAGGTCCATGCTCAGCGAAGAAGAGTGAATGATCTTTTTCTTTCTTTTTTTTTTAGAGAGTGGAATGGAGGTGAGAAGAGAAACACAATTTCTCCACATCATGCTGTATCATGGGTACTAGGAACTGCCCTTCCCGCACCAGGGGAAACTTGCAAAATAAAACCACAAAGTAATGCAGTCTTTATTTCAAGGCCTTGGGCAGTAATGCAAAGAAGATTAGACAGAGAAGGCTTTTCTGCCAGTAAGCTATCCTTTATGAAGCACTGAATGTTTCAGATCCCCACAATAGGTTAACTCTACATGCTGACAGATCACAATTGTGCTTTAAAATCAATGTAGACAGCCGAAACCGGTTTGGCTCAGTGGATAGAGCGTCGGCCTGCGAACTTCGATTCCGGTCAAGGGCATGTACCTGGGTTGCGCGCACTTCCCCAGTGGGGGATATGCAGGAGGCAGCTGATCGATGTTTCTCTCTCATCGATGTTTCTAACTCTCTATCTCTATCTCTCTCCTTTCCTCTCTGTAAAAAATCAGTAAAATATATTAAAAAAAAATCAATGTAGATAGTTACTAGAATGAACAGAATTAAAGGTACAAAAGCAAAATCACAATCACAAAAACACCATATACCAGAGCAGCGTACACCAACCAGTTTGCAACAATTCCTCACAGCAGAAGGTGAGAGCCACAATGTCTCTCCCTGAAAGTGGTAGCTCAGAGGTCCTCAAACGTTTTAAACAGGGGGCCAGTTCACCGTCCCTCAGACATTCCACACATGCGCACTGGGGGCCCGGGACGAGTCGGCTGCTAAGCAGGACAGGCAGCAGCGGGCAGGCTGGATAAATGTTTTTGGCGGGCCGCATGTGACCCGCAGGCCGTAGTTTGAGGACCCCTTTGTAGCACTTCTTAGCTGAGGATGGGGCCTCCGCAAACCCTGGGTCAGGTGCACTTCCTAGTCAGAGAGTAAGGAATGAGGATCCTGCCAAGAGCTCAGAGTATTCATAATTCACTAAAGCACAAGGGAGAACACAGAATTCCTTTTCCCTGAGCACCAGAGGTGGTGACGGGTGCACACTGTTCAGGTGAGGCAGGTGGTAGAGGAGGTCACTTCAGCCACAAATCCTCAGTGACACCAATGAGGTAGGAGTCCTCGGCAAGTTAGCAAGTGCAATGCAGCTCCTTCAGGCCTCACTTGAACCTCAAACGTATGAGGAATTTCCCACAGTGTATGCTCAGATAAAAGGGGTTTCTATTCAGACAAATGGATTTAAGTCTCGTGAAGTGTTGTAGAGTGAGAAAGGTAAAAGGTCCCCTGCACATTTAAGGCTCTGCTCCAATGTGAACGCTCAGATGTCTAACAAGGCTACGTTTTCTGCTAAAACATTTCCCACATTTACTACACACATGAGGCCTTTCTCCAGTGTGACTTCTGTGGTGCTCCATGAGCGAACGTCTTTGTCTAAAGGACTTTCCACACTCACTACATTCATACGGCTTTTCTCCAGTGTGACTTCTGTGGTGGTCTGTTAGCAAACATCTTTGTTTAAAGGACTTTCCACACACACTACACTGATACGGCTTCTCTCCGGTATGGACTCTGTGGTGTTGAATGAGGTTCCCCTTTAGTCTAAACAACTTCCCACAGTCACTACATTCAAAAGGTTTTTCCCCACTGTGAATTCTCTTGTGTTCAGAGAGGTGTAAGCTTAATCTGAAGGACTTCCCACAATCAGTACACTCATGTGGCTTTTCTCCAGTGTGAATTCTCTTGTGGTCAAGGAGTGTACCCTTTCTCCTAAAAGATTTCCCACAATCAGTACACATATAGGGTTTTTCTCCAGTGTGAACTCTCTTGTGGATATAGAGCCGATTATAGCTCCTGAAAGATTTACCACAATCAGGACACTCATAGGGTTTTTCTCCAGTGTGAACACGGTGGTGCTCAGTGAGTTGACACCTTTGCCCAAAGGACTTTCCACAAACACTACACTGAAATGGCTTTTCTCCAGTGTGAGCTCTCTTGTGATTAAGAAGCCCATTATAGCTCCTGAAAGATTTATCACAATCAGTACACTCATAGGGCTTTTCTCCAGTGTGAATTCTTCCATGTTGAATGAGGTTAAAGATTTGTCTAACACTTTGTCACAGCCCTAGACGGTTTGGCTCAGTGGATGAAGTGTTGGCCTGCGG